GGGTAATGCTTATTTTTGTGATAGTGGCACAGACTGCCGCCAGTTTCCATGAATTAGCCAGGTTTTACGAAAGTTCCTACAGTTTTCCAGCAAGGCCCCAATTCCCCGACTTTCCCAGGTTGGTAGACACCCTGCACAAACAAAGATAGATGGCAGTTAACTCACGTCCTGTTTCCTGTCTTATGCAAGTGTCATTCTGCACTTTATTACCTTAGAAGTACTTGCTGCTAGGCAGGTTGGTATAACATTATTAGGGAAAATTCTAGACGATGCGAATGTGTGGTGCAGTGTAAATATTTTCTGCAGTTCAGCTGCGACCGATGCTCTTTTTCTGTGCTTTTTCATTTTTCCAGTGGTGCTTAGGCATCTATATTTTTCCCCCTTAGCTTAATTACCTCCCTGAAGCTATGCATCATCTTGCCCATTAACAACCATTGTTAAACTATTGTATGTGGCATTGTTGATGCAAAATGACCTTAGAGTATATGCTAAAGCTCCTGCAGGATCACCGGCTGAATGTGACAACCAGTTCATCATTTATAGGACCCGAAGTATTGACATTTTGAATATATCTGTTTGCACAGTGCTTCATTGGAGTCATGCAAGCTTAAAATATGGTGCTCCCACAGAGAAATTTTTCTTCCTGTGCTGTGACAAACGGGAAAACTATGTAGACAATAATGAAAAGAGATCACAACTAGGCTTAGCTGTGTGATGTCTGCCTCAATAAAAATGTAATAAATTAATGCAAGTGTGCTTATATCACATGGTGTTGCCAGTTTATTACTACATTTGATATGAATCTCTGCTCGCTCCACCATGGTGTTCCTAAGGGTGTACACAGTCTTACCTCTGAGACAGCATTGCCAGAACTAATTTCACTGTCACAATCTTGAACAGGCGTGCGACAAGCATGCGCCAGTGCAGAGAACACAAGAGAAGTGGTCACTGCTTGCATGTTCAAGGTCGTATGCACGCACACCGGACTATGATTTTGCAGTGTCTTACATTTTGAGTGGAGTATACATCGTGATGGCGGGAGCCATCTCTGTGGTCACCAGCTAGACAATCACAATATGCATATTGTTGCTTGAGACAACTGTTTAGGACAAAAAAAGGGCACCGTAGAAAAAATATTTTTAGGCTAATGTAAAAGCTTGTGGTGAGGAGACTCTCAAAAGGTATACGGTGTGTCATCTTGCAATAGAGAAGCAACATTTATACCTAGTTTATGTTAGTAGGAGTCTGCTAAACATTGGCCATACAAGCTTGTGGCTAGAGAAGGATGATGTCCAGAAGATGCCCTCCTGAAATGTTAACTTGCACCGTCCTCCCTTGCCCTTCTTGGTGCACTGGAATTTTTGCCCTGTAGGTACTAATTCCTTCAATGGGTACTCTTGAACGGCTTCTGTATAAGCTCATTCTTACCACCTGCTTTACCCAAGGGCAAATCCTACTGTTGGAACTTGTTTGCTTGGCAGAAATTTTTAACAGGAAAAGAAGCTTCACTCGTTACACAAATAAAGCTACAGCATTGCAAGATTACTATGATGTTATGTACACAGACCTCCCACATACAACTCACTAAAATGTCACCAATTACCTCTATGGTGAGCCTGATTATGCCTTAAGACAGCATATAAGTTTCTTGATCCTATACTTTTTAATCAGTACATGAACCTTGAAAAAACAAGATCGTCACGTGCAGTGCATAAAACCAGTGCTTATGAACTGCAATGATGCCATCGAAAGCATCAGCGAAAGTAAATTCACCCTGCTGGAAAGCAAATTCTGCATGAAGCCTGTAAATGTACTGTTAACAAAGTCTTCTCGACAACTTGATTACTTCTACTTCTGCAATTTTCATAATCCTGTCTCTTCATACCTTTCTGTCAACCCAAAAATTATTGACCTATGAGGTGTTACTCATATGACCACGCTCATTTAACATACCTGCAAACCTCAGAGCTAACATAATAAAATTGAAGACTTTAATAAATTAATGCTCTCTGATACTCACCCCTTCAAAAAAATTTTTAGCATCCCCTTCAAACCTGTTTTTTTAAAGACTCAACAGGCACAGCGACGTGACTCATGAAAGGCATACCCGGAGCTTGTGGTGCAACTAAAATCTTTTTGGAGCAGCATAAAAGCTACCTGAAGCTTTTAAGCTAGAGCTGTTGCACCACATGTTACAGGGAACTAGTTCATGAACATATGCATGCATGTTCACTTGGACTTCCGCTCAACATAAACGTAGGCTTTTTGCTTTTTTGCAGACATCACCAATTTATATAAAGCTACCTACCGCTTTCTGGGAATTCACATGGCATTTGTAAATGACTCTGGCTTTCAGTGATAGTTTAGCTACAATATTGAATCACGGACTGGTAAGACTACTTATGCATTGTATTTACTTTCCAAAAAAAAAAAGGAGTCTGAATATATTAATGCTTTTATTAGTACAACCCAATCGTTCAATCTGTGGAGAAGTGGTTGCTGTCATCGTTTATGTACAGAATTGTTAGGTCCCTGATTAATGAGCGCTTCATAAAAAAAGGGTTTTGTAACGGGTCCTTACTGCCAATTATGTATTATGGCTCGACAAAATTTAGAGTTATGGGGGAGTAAGTAGTTACACTTGGCAAACTGTTTGACATGTACAGTCGTCGAGGTCGAGAAGCCCAGCTAAGACATACCGGAATAGTAGAACACCATGCTTTCTAGGAGAAGTAAAAGTGATTGTACAGCATGTGGTACTGATGATAAAATTTGCCCACTGTATGGACTTAAAACTTAACCACCTTGTATGAAATATTTTGAAAGTAAACTGTAACAAATAGGACCACAAGTAAAAAAAAAAGAACTAAGTGGTCAGTTCTATATGCAGGTACTAAATTACTGTATTTTAATACAGTAATGCAAGACTGTTGTCCAAGCACAACTAGCTCATTATTACTTTTATCTGACAGTAACCACAACAGTTAGAAACTATTTGGCTAAAGTCACGTGGTAACTTTTGTAGTATAAGCGGGTTCAAATTGTTAAGAAAGTTGGTGCCCAGCAACGTTTTCAGCTACATTGCACGTTCATGTCCACTGTGATAACATCTTCAAATTGCAGGGGTAACGTATGGCTTTCAAGCGTATGCCATATACTTGCTCCCTGAGAGAACACAACAACGAAGAGTGCACGCATGCTTGACACAAATAATGAAATTTATGAAAAAGATGTAGCAGGTTTCGTCTCTTGGTGCAGATCCCTGCAGGCACTTACCTAATTTCCACCCCAAACTGGTCATAACCAGTTTCCTCTAACCACCTTGCACTTAGTTCTGGCACGACATACGTTTCAAAGATCTATTTCTTGCAAACTGTGTGAGTAATTGTAAACCATTCTTCAACAGTTATCTTTGTGCTTACTCGATAGGAAAACATGAGCTACAAATTTTTATGTTTCTAAAATATGAATGGTAATTGAATTGTGAATGGTAATCTACACCCAGCCTTAGCATATATTTCCTTTATAATCATTTTCAATTTGAGGCATGGCACAAATTTTGAAGTACGACTGAAGCCTCTCATATGCATGTTTCGTTTATTTGAAGGTGCCATTTAACAATCTTGAATTAATCCTGCAATGAACTAACATCTGAATGCCTTGCGAATTGCCTGCCACAAAATGTATTTTACTAGGTAAATTGTTTTGTGCTTGTTACACAAGCTGAAGATGATGACGATACTGACTGCCGCATCGTCACTGATGAGGCAGAGGATAGCGCGTGTACAATTTAGGTGCACACACGAGGCCCAATGTCAGTGCTACATTTCCAATTTAAACACGAGCGCGCGCAATATGTATGCTTTACCGCAATACACAGCGTGCACTTCACCGCAAGGCACGACTGCCTTGCGGCACTGTTTAATTTTAAGAAGACGCTTAAGGTGGCAATTTTGAGCGAATATTTATAGTGCTCCCAGCATATCTTCAACTTTATTTCTTTTTTTTCTTTGTATACACCCACAAGAAAAGACATAGCTTAGAAAACCGATTATCGTAATCGGCGACAACATATTTAAGCCACTTGGAAATAACGTCGTGTGAACGCCTGGTAATATTCCATCGCTTCCAACTTGTGCATTTCGTATCTGTCTCACGCAGTTACGCAAGAAGAAGCTTCAATGAAAGTTTTGGCGCAAGCATACACTTCACCGAAGCGACACATCGATCCTTACGCTACACACGCACTTACCAGACATACACGTACGGCATACATCCACAAATAGCATAACACACTCAAAGAAAAGCGGCGCACAAAAAAGACGGAGACAAAGAAGAGAACCACACACAGCGCTGCTTCTTTTTCTCTTCTTTGTCTCCGTCTTTTTTGTGCGCCGCTTTTCTTTGAATATGAATACACACCAACTCGCCCAACTTTCTATTCTGTTAGCATAACACACGGTGTTCATGATCGGGCAAGTCGTTATCACATTGCTCATAGACAGTATTACAGAACGAGACCACGTATCCATGCGCAGAGATAGTTCTCGCGAATGCATAAGGCTCCCGGCCAAGCAATGACCACGGATAAATAACCACCGCACGGTAACGATCCTCACAAGTTAGTGAGGAAACTTAGACCTTTCGTTCCCACCACCTAAACGTCCCCAAAAAAATGTCCAACACGGCGATTCTGTCGCCGTCTATTCCTACACTTTCAGCCAAGTCAAACCGGTTTTAAGCGGCTATTGGGTGAACCGAACGCTTTTGCCTCGAAAAGGTTCGTGCCACCCGGTGGCAGCAAACGCGGCCAGCTAAAAAAGTTTAATGTAAAAAGACTATATTTGGGGCAGTACGTATTTAAAATGAACAACTCAACTTTTTTGTGTTTGAACTACTGTTGCGTTTTTAAAGAAAAGAGATGTTTGGATTAGAGTCTACGAAACGAAGGTTGTTTTGTGTGCCCATGACTTTTTCACGTAACAGCGTGAGTTTCGCGCCAAAGTTGCGCAGGCCATGCTTCGCCGGTGGTCAACCGCTCGGCACCGATGAGGATTTGTGGTACCTGCAGCCCACCGGCACGAAACAGGTGAGGTGTCGTTTTTAGAATGGTTTGCGCCATTGTGTTGCGTGAATCTGTGCGCTCTGAGCAAGCACCGGCGTGGACGCCTCGATTGGTTTTCAGAGAACACTTTGCCGATATCGCGAGCACTCTTCTCAACTGGTTACACGCGAAATGCGTTTCTTTCTGCTACCTGTTAGGGTGATCAGTCACAGTTAGTTCACTTGAGTGTCCCGTGAAATACTGTCATTTATTTTTTCACTCTCCCTCACCTCTGTATGGACACTGTTTATTAAGAGTGCCATGAAAAGCTCGCTAATTCACTTGTTGCTCTGGCTAGTTGACTGCTACAAGCGTATATATAAAAAGAAAAATTCCTTGTAGGTCAATATAATGGACACCGTTGGACACATTAAAAAAATGAAATGTATTCTGTCATTTTTATGATTTAGTAGCGCAGCACCAACAGACGAAGAAATTATGACATACACGGGCAAGCACATAGTCTTAAATAAAATCTGTTTGGAGAAAACACATAAATAGAAAGGCGCAGCGACTACTGCGATCTAGCAGACGGTGACTGAATATTACCATATATTCTGTGCGAAGCAAGAAAAGAAAAAAACACATGTTTCAGAAGGCCGAGAAACCCCGCCGCGGTGGTCTAGTGGCTAAGGTACTCGGCTGCTGACCCGCAGATCGCGGGATCGAATCCCGGCTGCGGCGGCTGCATTTCCGATGGAGGCGGAAATGTTGTAGGCCCGTGTACTCAGATTTGAGTGCACGTTAAAGAACCTCAGGTGGTCGAAATTTCCGGAGCTCTCCACTACGGCGTCTCATAATCATATGGTGGTTTTGGGACGTTAAACCCCACATACCAATCAATCAGGAAGGCCGAGAAGAAAACAAATCGTGATTGCACATAACTCGTTACGCTAAAAATTATATGTTTGCGTGACAGAATGATTGGTAGAACACTGATGCACATATATTGCCCTCTTGGTGAATATAAGAAATACTTCCATGATTTCGCATGTTCATTCTGATGCGGGTGCTACAAAACAAAAGTACACCATTGGAGGTGCGGTCGTGTATTGCTAAATGGAAACCGCGATTTGCCTAAAGGCTATCGTTATGTCCTTGGAAGTGCTCATCGAGCCCATAACTAGTTTGAACCTTGTACCACAAACACTCCCCTGTTCTCTTATCTCACATTTTGCTAATAGCTCAGCAAACGCATGTAAGCCCAGCTGCAGCGTGAAAGGTCAATGTCAAAACAGTTGGCTCCTATGTTTATAAAACCATGTGAAATGTTGTGTGTATTGGGAATATTGAACACATGTTTTTAAATGCGAAGCATTTTTTAGCGAACTTCGGCGATAGCCCTCTTACGTTTGGGTGCTCTCGTAGTCACCCCCTTAACTTGACGGGAACCAAACTTAGCATGGGAGGGTAAGGTAATCTGACGAATATGACGCGCTGGTCATGACATGAATAATGTCACGATACTGTCGAGTACGTCGTCAAGCACTTCCCGCTAGACGGTGGCACTTATCCACGGGTGGCTATGTGCCGCTGGTATGCGGGTATGTGCCACAAGTGATTGATATCTAGTATCTACCCAAGAATGATGAGAACACACAAGGGCAATTTAACGCGTGAGCGTTAAGAAATAACTGACATTGGCAGCATCCAACCGACGAATGCAAAGAATAAATGTCAGTGCCCCAGCTGGAATTGAACCCAGGCACTCTGCGTTGCAAAGAAGCATTTTACCACAGAGCTACGCCACGTCTCGAAACTACTTTTCAAATAGACGCAAATCTTTGTGAAACATCAATTGTGGCTGCAGTGCTGCCTTCCCAATTTTATAAACATTACATATGTACTCCTTTGATAGAGCCGTCCCGCTGGGTTAACGTCAATTGTGGTTAGTTGCCATGCGCTGAAGTTGATATATGTAGCAGTGTCCAGGGCCAGCATCCTCGCGAGCATCAGCGCTTCATACCAGCTTCTGGTGTTGCCAATACGCACATTCCAGTTTGAATCGTTGTGCAAATGCAAACAACTGGCTATATAAACATCTGCAATTCTTCAACATATGTCTGCGCATACAACATTTTTAATGTAATTAGCCTCATTTCAGGACGTGTCGCACAATAAAAAAATTGCAGCACGGTCACCTTTCGTCCGTATGCTTCGCATCACGTCGATGCCCAGGTACCTGGGATCTGCCGAATTTTTTAGTAGTTCATTGTATGTTAGAGATACAAAACCAAATAATCATAATGGAACCATACCGATTTGCCTAAATGTCTGTCTTTATGCTACATTTTGTTACACTGCTGGTGTGCAACAATTGCCAACTCCAACAAAGTTCTAATCCTAAAACCCAGAAACTGTAGAAGAGGCGGCAATCGCACTAGCAACTACCACGTGCCTGGATGTAGTGTTGTCTTGACGGATTTGCAAGCAGCTGTGCAAAACTACACCCAAACACAGATGAATGAAGTAATGCCAAAAAACGGCACGGCGGACACAAAGAATGACACACTACAGGTGCTTCCATTATTTGACATGTGGTGTGTCCTTGTGTTGCTTTTTTTTTTCTTTACATTATGACTTTAATCTGGCGCCGAACTAGCCCAGGAACAAGTCCTTCTGCAGTACACCAAATGTCGTGTGTCTGGCTAAGCACTCAAGGTATTTTAAGTGCCGAAGCAATCCTATGCCATACACCTGTGTCACATGGGCTCCTGGGGAGCACGAAGGTGGCCCGTGATCGTCACGTTTTGGCAAATTTAAATCGAGCCATGAGTCTCAGTTCAAGTGAGAGCGGTTGAGGAAAATTTCAGAGTGGTGAGTCTCAGTCCGAGTGGGCTTGAAGCACTAACTAATGGAGCTTGTCTGAGTGCGCCCCACATATTTTGCCGACCTATGGTGGTCATGCCTACTGGGCTACACCCTCCAACTCTCCAGACTACTGGACAGCATCTGTGGAGGCAGAGCGCATACCCACCAAATACTTTGCAATAATACCTCACAGACGGTGACACCGTGAGTACGAGCCACCACCACATTCAAAGCTGAAGAAAGAGGACAGTATCATACTGAGGAGAATCTGAGCAACCCACGCTATACTATTGCACAGACTGGACCAATCCTAAAGGAATATGTTTTCCCAATTCTTGGTGTACCTGATACCTAGGCCCACACAATCCAATGCAATATACACATGGACACATTGCCTACTACGAATGGGTGTATTGCCAGTCAAGAAAGCGAAGACTTGGAGGCCAAGCTCGCCTCCTGGACCAACAATGACGTCGAGTTGCCTGGGCTAAGGAGGCAGCAGCGATCTCCTGCAACTCCCCACATAGAATGTTTATTCTTCTTCCAAGTAATCACGAACAAAGTTCGAAATCTCCCAGTAATTTGCTTATATATTGGACTTTGTGGATGTGCTTCGTAGTGCGTGTCTTCTTCTTTTAAGTGGGCAGCTGTGGTTCCAAACTTGCTCAAAAGTGGCAAAATACAGCTCGCAGATCTACTTGAAGGCTTCTCTTGCCACTTCTGTTGCTGTATGAGACAGTGGCACTGGGAAGAATGTACAAAAGTGCATCTTGATGCCACTGATACTAAGATAGAGAAAAGCAAGCAAGCACCATAATTTCGTGGTTTTCGCTATCTGTGCCCAAGGCCTAGCCTAGAAACTAGACATAAATGGCACGCTTTGTACACAGTAGTGGAAGAAGTGGTCAAGCAGTTGATAGATATGTAGGGTCTAACGTCCCAAAACCACCATATGAATATGAAAGACACCTTAGTGGAGGGCTCCGGAAATTTCGACCACCTAGTGTTCTTTAACAAGCACCCGAATTTGAGCACACGGGCCCACAACATTTCCACCTCCATCGGAAATGCAGCAGCCGCAGCCGGGATTCGATCTCGCGACCCGCAGGTCAGCAGCCGAGTACCTTAGCCATTAAACCACTGCGGCACGGCGAAGGTCAAGCAGATGTCTACAGTAAATTGCCCACATGATGGTAGCTGTGCAGTGATCTTGGCTTGCAAAAGGCTACTCTGTGCTTATTTGTCGCTGGCAACAGAGTTGCAACCAGTGCAAATTTCATTGCAACAGAGTTGCAACAGAACTTTCGAAAATGCGATGCTGTGCCTGTCTTTAGGCACAAGACAGGCTCTGGAGGCCTGAGAGAGGTTGGCCGCACGGCTCTCGGCGCACAGAGATAACATGCCAAAGGAAGCAATACAGGGCAATGTTGGGTGGTCCTCCTTTGAAGCAAGAAAGGCCGTGGTAGAAATATCCTACAATAGGAGGTTAAGTAGGATGTCCTACAGATGTACAAGTACATTCGCCTATACTCTCACAACACTATGTGGGCAACCCGCACTAATATTCTCACCAAGTGGTTCGGCGTTGAAACTGCCCAGCTCACAACCACCCCACAGGGTGAAGGAGCACTCAACGACACTTTTTACGACAACTCCAGGGGAAGCAGTCCCCTGTCACAGGCTCGTTGTGCAGTACTTAGACCCCGCAGGCCCACACCGAGCATGTTGATGGTCCGTCACCACTGCAGTCTTGCCGAGGAACCATACACCATGTGGTACTCAAATTCACTGGCCTTCAGCCTCTGCCGCTGCTCGAACAGACAAACCTCAGTGCCTTGGCAACTGCGCTGGGTTTCTGCGGAGAGTGTGCACCCCCTAAGCAGAAAGCAGTGGAACTAAGTGCCAGCTGCTACACTGGTGGCGCTCTTGAAATCAGTCGGATGCCACCGAAAATAAAGCGAAATATTTTTTCTTTCTGAACTGGGCTATACATATGCCTGTTGATTGCCAGTTTCAAAAGGCAAGGCTTTCATCATCATCAGTTGGGCAAGTTGGTTAGAAATAATCTTGAATGTCATTATAGCACAACAAAAGGAAGAAAAACAAACAATATGATGCTGGCTCATTAACCTATATATTGTTGAAAATTTGGGAAAAGTGTACTTGTGCCAAAT